TTTGTGGTTAAATAACGTTGAGTGACAAGTGTCAGCATTGGACTCCCCTGGGAAGATATCCCATGCAGTGACGTATGCTGCAGTGGGAGGGGTGTCTCAGGAGGAGCTATGAAAGGTGTGTGCGAAAATGAACGCCGAACAACTACGTGATGGCGTGTCGACCTGTCGTTTGCCGAGCGACCATGCTGCCAGCTTTAGTACTCAGGCAGAACCTGGATTAACTCAACCAAGAACTGATACAGCTTTACCAAACTGTTTTAGAATAGATATCTGTTTGAAAGTGTTGGTGGGAGTAGCACCTGTCTGCAATCTGTGTTTCTCTGGGTGACCTCTGGTTTCATGTTGATTTACTAGAGCAGGAACTTCCCCTGCTAAAGCATAATAATGTGGCTCCAAGTTCAATGCGTGGATGTGAATCGGAACACTGGTGGACTTGGGAGTTCTTGAAATATGATTGGGGATGTCACCTACTTAAAGAAATAGTTTTTTTTCTTAAATGGAGTTTTGATGTTGAGGTTTTGAGAAAAATTTCCAGGTCTCAGCTTGGAAAATCAGGGAGAAATTCTCACAGGAGATGCAAACAACTGGAACRTTTGAAGCAAATAGGGCAACATAAGAAACTACAAAAATGGATGCAAAAGAAAGTCCTGGACCACAAATGTATACTATAATTAAAGGGGCAATATTAAGTGTTTCTCAGGCATACATTTAAATTCTATACTATAATAAAGTATCTATGTCACCTTTAGTTGTTATTAAAATACTGTTTATGTTTAAATAGGAAATAAAACTGTCTTCTCATCATTTCTGCTTCTAAACACCTTGAAATTGGCCTCTGTCTCTTTAAGAACCTCCTTCCGCTTCTGTCCCGTCCATTTCAACACGTCATCACAGCCGAAAGACTGCAGGAGTCACGGGCAGCATGGGCAGGATGGGCGCGGGGGTGGGGTTGCTTTGTGATACGGGAGTAGTTTACTTGGCATATGAAAATACATTTCCTCAAAAGTATTTTAAATTTGAAAAGGGCTGCGCTCAGAAGTAGTATCGGGAGCTCAGCAGATAGTTTCAGTTTCACTTTCAGTTTCACCAGTTGTTTGCTTTGTTGCTGCCGAGAGCCTGCAGGAGTCACAGGCGGGGTGTGTGGGGTTGGGGTGGGTAGGTGTGCTCTGTGATGAGGAAGCTTGGCTTGGAGACAAGGCCCAGAGGAGGAGCTGGTCCCAAAAGGCGGTTCTAGTCCCAACCAGTCATTTTTTCTTCCTTGCCTGGCTGACTCAGGACAGCACAGGATTTCTCAAACATGCACGAAGGAGTCAAAGACTCTGGGCATGTTTTTGATAAGATGAAAACATTATAACATGACAAAACTCAAAAAGGTTGATTTTACATGATATAACCCCTTTAAAGTAAAAGGTCTTTGTATGTGGATTCCCTKTGTTCAAGCTGTAATATTTATAAATTCTGCAGAATACAGGGCACTAACACAGCAAGATATAAGTAATAATTGAAAAAACTGTAAATTTCTGATTCCTAAATGTACTTTCTTCTGGAGGTTAGAAGAGTGTTAGCCTGGTTAAAACCAGACCCTGTCCTTCACTTTGCTTCGTACGAGGGTCTGGACTTGCTGAATAGAGAAGCGTTTCTTGCAGGAGGCGAGGCCACTGCTGAAGTTTAAAATGACTGGACCAGTTGGCTGCGACGCATGTCGCTGTGAAGGAGGCTACGCTAAGAAGCTAACCGGAAATCGCGTGTGCTGTAAACAACCCTACTGAGAGGAGAAATACACCGAGCCGAACGAGACGACTGTAAATGAGAGCTGCTGCTTTGTCAGACAAATTTAATTTAATTTGAAGCCTTATCTACACAGACTGGCTTCATTCACTTCCTCCATTGCCGTATGCTAAACTAACTAGCGGACACTGCGCAGAACATCTACGTCGTTCAAAACTCCTCCTTCTGTTTGCTGATTGGTCCAGGTAAACTAAACTACAAGCAGACACTGAGCAGAAAATCGACGTTCTGTTCTCTGATTGGCCCGGCTAAAAATTTACCAGCGAAATCCATCTCAATGGGAGAAGTCCCAGACGGAGCAGTGAAGGGAAACTAGAATTGAGCGGAGCTGCGTAGGAAGGCAAGGGCCAGGCTAGAAGAGTGTGTTACTGCAATCAGAACCAAGTAAAAAAAGGACATGTCAGTCTTTATAAAATTCTTTATCTAGGTTGCATTTTGAAATCATCCTTTCTTTACATTCGTCCGCTCAGCCTAACAAGGCCTGGTGTCACCTTCTCCTAACGACGATGCTTCTCTCTGGGGACTATCGTCTCTGCCGAGCCACACGCCATGTGTCATGAGAGACACAAACCAGTGTGAGCTAGCTCTGTTTTGTGTCACTGTGGGATTTCCTGTCAATCTGTCCTCCATCTATCTCTCGCTCACATGTTGTCTTGTCCTCTCCTCCAAAAACAAATGATCCCTCTGTTATTTTTGGGCCTCATACGTTGTAATTATGAAGTTCAGAATGTAATGCGTAAAGGCTGTATTCTCAGGTGTGGCTGATCCTATGAGTCGATGTAGAGTTTATAAATAGCCTGTAATTGTGTTGATGCCATTATGATTGTGCCTGGAGCTCCATTCATGCTTTATAAATTTGTTTGCAGTCCTGTTCACATTTGGAGTGCAGTAGATTTATGAAATTACACACAGCAGCACTAAAAGAACACAGGAAAGACAGAGGTAAAGATCCTCAATGAGCAGAGWGACTGAGTGCACTCGGGCGGTAGAGGCAGGGCCACCGCAGTCCGGTGGGAAATGTGTAGGGTTTCCTTAGTGGAACTTAACCTCACAACCAAAACAACACACAGCAGCACTGGCGCACCTTCATTAGCGACCTTTTTATAGCCTTGCAATCCTATTACTTCTGTCCCTTCTTCTGTCCTGCCCTTCCATAAATGCAATCTCCAGTGGCTTGAAGTTTGGGATTTGTTAGTGGCTCGTCTCTAGCTCTCCTCYGGCTTATTACAAGCCTGATGTGTCTTGTACCCAGAGGGTGACCTTTAATACCTGGTGCTCACAAACGTGCAGCAAGATAACACAAGCAATAAACCCTGTTATTTACTTTGTAGGAATCATTTTCCGTTCAACAGCATCACAGTGTCCACCGCACCCCTGCCCCTCACTACCCCTTTCGGTTTTTTGCCACCGTCGCCGACTACAACCCCTCACCCTTCAGCCCCAGCCCCTCTCAAGTGTTTGATTCAAATAGATTTCCTGCAGGGCAGTGGGGAGCCACACAGAAGGACGGAAATAAACAGATAGGGCTATTATTCATGTCTGCCATGAAGCTATGGCAACAGTGTCCTCTCGCTCTGATTGGTCATAGATAATGTTGCCTTTTTMGCCATCACTTACACTCTGGGGACTCGGAATTATTGGCATTTTGTCAAAGTCCTTGCTGTCGCTTTTTAGGTTAGTTTGCTTTAACTTCCACCTGCTGGTTTATAAAACCTCACATTGACAGCTGGACTTTAGATTATTTGTTTGAGTTAGAGACTGCGTGTTGAATCACCCAGCTTTACACGAGAGTTCAGTAAAGATTTAGTTTTGTTTACAATGGCTTTGAATATCTCTCACTGCCTCGTTAGTTGCTCTTCCTTTTACAGAAAATAATTCAACCGTTCCATGATTTCTATCATCATATAACATCCTAACCTTTTGCGTGTGGGCTATTGCCAAAACAAGCTCAGTGTTCTAGCAACAACCTCCTACTCATCTCTCTAAGTTGTGCTGTTTGGAGATGTAGGGTTAATGCTTCTATTCTGCACAATAGTTCATGAAGTAATCCTGTTCTTCTTCCTCAAAAGCAATGAAAGCTCACATGTTATCATTACTTTATCACGTTGTTGAGTGTGCTCTGTAAAAAAAGCTTGTTAAAAAAACCGAGCAGTGTAAAAAAATGGACCTTTTTAACTTGTCTCAGTTTTTTGGATCTTCTGAATAATGTTAGGATACTATGTACTTTGTAAAATAAAGGTCTAATAGGTTTTTGGATTAATATATTTTTGTTCCCTTTTTAGTTAAAGTAGTATTTCTTCAACAAATGCGTTCAACCTTTGCCTTGCATGCCAAAGTTCGAAACAAACATCTGGTACGATCTGTTAACCCTCAGAGTATGTGATAGGGATGACTCTGTGCTACTACCACACCAAACTGTAGCTCAATATCTGAAAATTGACCGAGTTATAGCMATTTTATTGTTGATTAACTGTGATTAACATTTTTTGTTAAACTGACTCTAAAGTTTAATGAGTTGTAGGATATGTGATGAGATCATCTTTTGAGAATTTTATCCAAATTTATCCAATGATTTAGGAGATATTTTACTATCAGCCAGACAAACATACAGACTATTATATTATCGCACCCCTTTCATGGTGGYATGTGATGATTTAATCCTTTTACTTAGTGGCTGCTAAACCTTATAGTCCACTTAAGCACACTCACTCATGTGGATAAGCCTGATAAGAGAGACATAAATAAATAAACAGTCCAAGTCGATTCAGTCCATTATCTCTGCCAATCACTCAGTGGGGCATTTACTGAAGGTTTATTTAAACTCGGAGATTATTGGCATTCACTTACAGTCAACACATTCAAATTGAAATCCTGACCTTATAAAATATGCTGGAAGTAGATTTATTCAATGTTATCTATGGTTAAAATTAGAAGACTGCGTTAAAATGCCAACATAGTAGCAATCAGAAACTGTTACAAACTTTTTTGTAGGATTGCTTTCAATATACAGTAAACATGTAAAACATAATATTTTATGTGTGTTATGTGTTTTGGCTTAAATGTTTATTCCTGATGAACATGCTGGTATTCCCTGACCACTCTCAGTACCTTCTTCCTCTGTACTTAAAATATTCAACTCCACATTTAAGACTGTACTGTATCAGGTTTCCTTTTGCTGCAGTTCTTACTCAYGTTACCTCTTTGTCTTTCAGATCCTGGCCATCATCTCCATTCTCTTCATCGTTCTGTCCACCATCGCCTTGTCTCTGAACACTCTCCCAGAGCTGCAGGGCACGGACGAGTTTGGCCAGTCCACAGACAACCCACAGCTGGCGCACGTGGAAGCCGTGTGCATCGCCTGGTTCACCATGGAGTACCTGCTCCGCTTCCTCTCCTCGCCCAATAAATGGAAGTTCTTCAAGGGCCCTCTTAACGTCATCGACTTGTTGGCCATTTTACCCTACTATGTCACAATCTTCCTGACAGAATCCAACAAAAGTGTGCTACAGTTTCAGAACGTCCGCCGCGTGGTTCAGATTTTTAGGATCATGAGGATTCTGCGGATACTGAAGTTGGCTCGTCACTCCACAGGTCTTCAGTCTCTGGGCTTCACTCTTAGGAGGAGCTACAATGAGCTGGGCCTGCTCATTCTTTTCCTGGCCATGGGCATCATGATCTTCTCCAGTCTTGTATTTTTTGCTGAGAAGGATGAAGAGGATACAAAGTTTAAAAGCATTCCAGCTTCTTTTTGGTGGGCTACCATTACTATGACCACCGTAGGCTATGGGGATATCTACCCCAAAACTCTGTTGGGAAAGATTGTCGGGGGATTATGCTGTATTGCTGGAGTACTTGTAATTGCCCTGCCTATCCCCATCATTGTAAATAACTTTTCTGAATTCTACAAAGAGCAGAAGAGGCAAGAAAAGGCTCTTAAAAGAAGGGAAGCCCTGGAAAGAGCAAAAAGAAATGGTAGCATTGTTTCTATGAACTTGAAGGAGGCTTTTGCTCGTAGTGCAGAGCTCATGGATGTGGTGGTAGAGAAAAGTGAGAGACCTCAAGACAACCACCTTTCTCCAAGTCACTGGAAATGGACATCCAAGAGAGCTGCATCGGAGACAAGCTCAAATCGATCTTTCAACGCCCAGGAGTTAGGCTCTCCATGTGAGGCTCGAGCCACCAGTCCCCAAAGGCTAAATGTTGAGAAACTAGAGGAAATGTACAGTCAGATGGCAAAGACGCGGTCACAACCCAACCTCAACGCTAAAGACAGAGGGTCCAGAGCAGGGAAACAAAGGGATGAAATAGAACTTGGGACCATTCAAAATCATGGACCCTTGGCACTGGGAGTTGGGGATATGAAAAGCTTATCTAGCATTGATAGCTACATCAGTTGTGCAACAGATTTCCAAGAGAATCCCCGCTTCCCCCATAGTCCAGCACCAGAACTTGGTCTTCAGGAAAGCAGTCGGTTCACTTTTGGTCCAGCTACGGGTTTGTCCCAGCACAATAGTACAAAAGTTGGCCAGCAATTGTTAGGGCAGTACGAGTCCATGCTAACATCTGTGTCAAAGTCCACATGTTCTGAGAATCCAAGAAAATTTTTCTTTTCTGGAAACTCCTCTAAAAGCCTTAAGGGAGGCTGCTGTAGCGACGGAGATTCTGGGCCTTCCCCACTTTCAGACAGCTCTGTTTTGTCGGACCACTCTCTTTTAAGTCCTGAAGTATCAGTGTACACCACTGCCAGCAGCAGAACCCCTCCGAAGTCACCAGAAAGCACTGCCGTGGCCCCAACTGTCTTCACTTTCCATGACTCCTCCATTAGCAAATACATCGACGCCGACACGGATGACGACGAACACCTCCGGGACAACAATGAGGCCAGTCCGTCGGAGCGTCTGCTGGCCAGTGCCAGCCCAAAGCGCAGTATTAACATTCATTACCAGAGAGGGACTAATCACTTAGAAGCAGCTCAGAAAATGCTGGGTCAGAATTGTCTCTTCCCCACCGAAGGGATTCGTGGGAAAACTCATGGGAATCATATAGGACCTGAGATGACACGTAGACCAAAGGTTGAGAGGGGACGACAAAACCCTTTGGATAAAAGCCTCTGAGGTACTAGAAAAACAGTGGCACAAAAAGAAGTTGGGGACAAAGTGTTTGTTATAAAGACACTTGACAAGCTGAAACACTTTATGAGCCAGAGACGAAAGAAAGAAGGAGCGATAAAGGCTCTCCTGTTTCAGAAAATGCCTAAGCTTGCCATTAGGGCAACAAGCTCTGGGTTTAATGTGTGTGGCAAATACTCTGCGAGAGACACTTTTAAATTGGAGGATGTCACTGCCCCTCATTCAGCTCATTCCTGTTAGCGGTTTTTCAAACACAGAAAAAAAGAGCACTCCCTATTAGCCAATGAGCTTGTTCACAGAAGCAGAGTCAGCAGAGAATATGAGCAGCAGCTATATTTGGTATAACACACACAAAAAAGATCATTTYTAGCCAAAAGAGTGGCTTCTCTATATTCTCTAAAATGAAAGTTCACTTTCTTGTACTGACTCCCAGCTCATTTTTTGTTTCACTTTTGGAGATACATGAGAGAACCTATAGCCTATAAGCTGCTTACTCGTGCCCTCCTTTCTTAAAACTGGCCTTAGTCATTTACATGTGTAGAGGTGTGAGTCTGGATATTTGGGTGTGAGAACATGTGACTATGAATGAGTGATTTATGTAAACACAATCTTAAAAACCTGATTTATTTTTATATAAATAAGAGAAAGTCCCTTATAGAAAGTGATTTGCTAGTTTGCTATGTCATAATTAAATGTGATATGTGTCTTTCTCCACAGTTATCAAAGGTTCCAGATCATTGTTTGTTTATTCAGCCACTTTCTTTAACACAATGCTTCAGATGTTTTAAAGTGGAGTACTGTGGAAAAGTTTTGGCAGTCAGTCAGTATCATGCCTGTTGTAGATATATATTTGAATAAGCTCAAACTGGAGAAATAGATTTGAATTCCAACTAAAACGGTCAAGTTACCAACTAATCTGAGCAAATTGCATCGCTACCATCTTTAAGTCCAATATCAATAAAAAGTTAATGTGAAACGGTCTTTTAAAAAACAGTTTTGCAATTATTTATGTAGAATTTTATTATTATTTGSAAGCGCAAATAGTGGCAGCAGCAGCTAGCTGGGGCACTTTCAAGAGGACCATTATACACATTTCTGCCAGAATAAACTGCTGAGAAAATTTTGAGATTATTTATTTTTATGTAGCAACAATTTACTTGAATCTTTGAACCACTTGGGCTAGGCTTGTCAATCTGATCAGCATTCAACCCAAAATTTCAAAAGTGAGTTTATTTAAAGAGCTATCTGTAACAGGTAAGATATTAATTGTTAACAGCTTTTCCACAAACACCCCTGTAAAAGAACTGAACTATTGTTGTATCTATCATGCTAACCCCTAAGCTAACATTTAATGAATGAATGGATACTTTGACATTTATCCTGCTGAAAGGAGTATCAGCATCTCTATATGTTTTATATGATGATAAAGGTTGCCTACGAGTTTCCTCTTTTGCACAAAGTGCACATGAATGCATGTTCCCACCCCACCAACATAGAAACACACAATACTTTTCTGTTTGTTTGCATAGAAGTAAAGAAACACTGAATGTAGGAAGACCCTCCAAAGGTTTTGCAACTTACAAACATGATTTGTAGATCTCAGTGGCAAATCTTTAGCATGCATCGGCTATGAACTGCCTAACAGGAAAGAAGTCAGAGTAAAAACTTTTGTTGTTTCAATTAGCAGAAGATAAGTTACTAACAAAGGGAAAGTTGTCTTTATTCCTACCATGTTTCTAAAATAATTTATATAAACTCTAATAGCACTATACTGGGCTGGTTTTAGCACCGACTAGTTCCAGTTGCCATAATAAWCAAAGTTGTTTCTAAGCACACACAAACCTGTTGAACAAAGCTGCCGGTGTGGCCGACAATCTAGTTTCCACGGGGACGAAGAGACGTCCACAATGGCTTGAAACAGCTGAGGATTTTATCGATYGGCKTGTTGAATGTCTGCATGTAACGTACGCTCATACACAGACTTCCTTTCAGAGTCATGCATCTTTAAAAYGGCGGGTATCCACAGTGGCTGCATGTTGGAGTCATTCCTCACTGTGTGTCTGCATGAACTGTAACAGCAAGTTGTGTCTGAAACGTCTGCAGCATCTCATAAACAGCATCATTTAGCTTCTGGACTCCTCTCAAATGGATTAGAAAATACTTTTTTTACCACCTGTTTCCACTGCCACACACAAGTAGTTTCTAATGAAAAGAAAAAAAAGATTTTAAAAACTGTATTTTCAACAAAAATGCCACCAAAAAGAGCAAAATCCATCATAATGTGTTGTTTTAGTCATATAGGTCCAAACACGGCACACGATGGAATTCTTCAACAAAAACAAAAAAGTTACAAGAATGTGAAGCATAAAACACCCTGTTAAAGGAAACCTATCATCTGAGGGTTCAGTGGAGTGAATGAATGATGAATGAATGATGTAGATTAATGACTGAACAAAGCATTATCTTAAATGTCATTCCACAGCAGAAGAGCATTAGATCACTGTCCTTCACTGGGAAGAATTAAGGAGGAAAAGTTTAAGAGAAACAAACTGCAAGAAAAATAAATACAATATTTAAATAATTTCATAAATGCAAAACTTTCATGGCAGAAAAACCTCAAGCACATAAGTATTAAAATATGTTATGCATAATAAATAATTATATTAGTATTTGCTAAATTGTTGTAATTCTAAAATCACCATACAATATTATACTACTCAACAAACACAAAACCATTTATCTCCAAATTATTTCAACTACTATAAACTAAAGATTTAATTGGGAAACATCATTTGGGAAAATGGTGTTCAGTTCCTYTGTATAAATTTAATAAAAATAATACCTCAGTCATTTATTGACCCAAATAGGCTGCTGCAAATTACAAACTAAAAAGCCAATAAACTGTTATGAATACAGTTTTGTTTTGAGGTAAAATTAAATTCCAAAGTCAACAGTGGATGATTGACATAGTTATTTATTTATTTTATTTTTTAGTTCTGGTTAGGAGTGTAATCACAAATCCCGATTTGATTTCCTGTTTTAATCACAGACTTGGACCGTTTCATATTGCTCTCCCATAGTGAGAGGAGCTGAGGTGTGAAAGGAATAGCAATGACTGTGAGAGGCAGAGGAAGCCGTGTGTGTGTGTGTGTGTGTGTGTGTGTGTGTGTGTGTGTGTGTGTGTGTGTGTGTGTGTGTGTGT